ATTCTGCCAGTATCACACAATTTGTGTTCCAAGTATCATGCAGAATATTTTATTTAAAAAATCCAGGCTTTGCCAACAAGTAAACAAGGTATCAATGTTAATGTGTTGGTACCATTATTTCCCATTAAATACAGTCGTTTTGAAGTTGGGTGTGCTGCTGTTTCAGACTGCACTCAACCCACTGAACTGTCAAGCGCACCAGAGTCTTGCCTGCCATCTGTGATTCGTCTTCCTGAGCCACCTCTGATCACTGATACTCACTCTTCCCCATGGGTGTGAGCACATAGTGTCAATCTACACTGGGCCTGGGCACTCATTCATTTAGTCATGGCAAACTGGTTAGCAGGCCAGGGTGCTTGCATTCAGTTTTCTCAGCCTTCCATTCCATCCTCTATCACTTCTGTATTGCTGACTAAAGCCGATATCAATGCAGATAGCCTCGAGCTACTTCTGCCAGGCCTGTGTAGTATATTCTGCAGCCCAACATTAAACTGATCTAGGTTTTAATGACAATACTTGCACTTGTTCTGGCTTGTATACTGTCACCTGCCTATTGTACGTGGTTCTTTTTCACTCTATGCTAAGGTGCACTTTCTTCAACCCACCTGCTTCCTTATCCTCAGCTTCTTCTGTTTTGCCTACTTTCATTTCCATGTGACTTTCTTGTCACTCTTCCTCTTTACCAAGGTCTGCTTTCTTATCTTTGCAAGAGTTTAACAATAACTTTAATTCCTTTGGCTGTAAAAACCTTCACTGTCGCTTCCTGCAGCAATTGCGGAGAAGCTCATGCTTGTGCCACACACCTCCACTAGAGGTGATATACAGTAGACTATCCTCTATTTCAAACATACAGCTCCTTCATAGATTAAACAATTAAATGTCCTCATCACACCTCTAAATACTGTATATCCCTCCTCTCATCCTTAATTATTAGCAATAACCTCCATTTGGCACTCTACAGTATGTATTATTTCGAAGTACTAATATTACTTGGTTACTTTCAGGTAGGTTAGCTATCCAAAACATGTCAACATTCTGTCAAACTCTATGCAGATTCTCCTTAATGGGTATCTTTCTTATCTCCAATTTTTATATGCTGCTTTACCATGCTAACCAAGCTGAACTAAATTGTATTATTGAGATCCTCTCCACTTTCCTTAGCTCCTTCCAAAACATAAGATTAAGTTTTTAGCCATTTGAATTTTGCTATGCAGTCATCTCTTTGTCTTGTCTTCCGTCACATCTCAGCATCCCTGTTTACTTGTTGGAACTAAAGTCGTGGCTACTTAAGGATTTGGAATTGGGTTATTTGTATTGTAGAGATTGCCTTCTGTCTCCCCAGGATCTCTAGCTTTTTAAATGCTACTCTGCTTTCAGGCTTTTGGTGTTTTCCACAGCAGGAAAATGGGTTGCATCCTGTTAACCATTTGAAATTTCCAGCTTTCTCCTTTATATTCCTCTGTAATGCTTTAAGAGCTGTATCTTATAATTTTACAATAGTATAATTTGATGTTTCCCTTGGAGTCAATAATCCACCCTCATTCACTGATACAAAATATCCATGTTCTACATAACTGTAATAAATTCTCCACATCATGAGGTCAGTGAGACTCCTCACTTAGATATTTTTACTTAATCAGTTTACATCTTGCCAATCATAACCCTGAGTGCTCAAACCGGATTGCTGATACACTCTCTAGGTTTCAATTAATAAATAATTAAAATGAGCATTAACCCTATATGTAGAGCTGACACATCACTGATTTTTCACTTTTCAGAAGCTATATTCCTGTAAATCATCCCCTGAACCCCTTCATCACTCTCACTCAGAACACCAGAGTATTGCACCATTTGTATCAAGGGATTTACTGAATTTTCAGTATTCCCTTTTCCTTGTCTGACTTCCTTACATTAGGAAACAATAATTCATTTTAAGAATCAAAGGATTCCAAAACCATGATCTCCTCTTCCACCCAAACGCTATGCTTTTACTGTTGAAATCTTTGCTGTATTTTATTGTACTGAGATGGTTCTACTGTCCTTGTGGACTAATCCCTCAAACCATTATTTCTCCTGGCCTCCATCACATTTGTCTGAAACACCAAATGCTAGCTGTACCTTAAAACCTAAACTCGATTCTTGTTTGTCAGTCCTTTCATTTGCTCTAACTTTTTGGGTACTCCTTCAGGATATCTGTGGCGTCTTTTGCAGCTACTAGTCTTGATTATTAAAAATAATACTAATTTTTGGATAATAAATTAGTATTAGTATATTCTGCAGCCCACCATTAAACTGATCTACAGTAGGTTTTCATGACAATACTTGCACCTGTTCTGGCTTGTATACTGTCACCTGCATACTGTACATGGTTCTCTTTCACTCTATGCTACATTGCACTTTTTTCAATCCACCTAGTCACCACTCATCACCACTATCAAAGCCCTGGATTGGTGTTCCTCCGAACTATAGGATATCTAAATCAATCAGCCTTAAGTTTGGGCACCTCAAGCTCTGCCATTAAAGAACTCTACATCTGGGGTAACAGAAAATAAACTGTCATTACTTTATCTCTATGTTGCATTAATTATTTTGATTGTTTTTACTTGTTTATCTATTTAAAATAATGTCTTTATTCAGTAAGACCTGGTGGTGAACATGAACATTGTTGGCAGAGAGAGAACCATTCTTTGAATCCAGTCATCATATTTCTAAGTAGCAAATAAAGAAGTCCTGAAGCTGAGCAGATATGACACTAGTAAATAAAAAATAAAGGTGACAAGCTTGTATATCATTTTGTTCATAACAATTGGATTAATTTATCTCTTTTCAGATATCAAAATGAAAACGTTCTGATAGCCTTTTGTACCTTTAGGAAATTCTTAGAAATTATATTTCATTTTTGCCTTTGATTTTTTTAAATAGAAATATTGGCTGAACTCTGCATTAGTGCACTAATTTGTCTGGTGCTTTGGTAAAATTGGATTTTCATTGAACGTTTACCATATATGGTATACATGAATTTTAATTATTCTATTCACAAAAAAAATTTGAAAGAACCTGTGTATGACTTTTATATAAGGACAGTAAAGTGAATTTACCGTTTTACTGGATTACTGGAACACCAGAGGCCTAATTGAATAAAGTGTACCATTGGTCTTTGTTTTATTCTAGTTCCTAATCACACAACTGAAAGCACTGTGCTAGTCTTAATTGTTCCTTCTTCTTAATAAAAGGAATACGTTCTTGTTACCCAAGTGTTCTAAACAATGTTAGTTTTGTATCCCTATTTATATGTGATTATAAAGTTAATGGGATGTATCACCATAAAAGCTGTGGAGTTTTTTTGTACACAAATACAACACAAAAAAGCAAAAAAGCCTGGTAAACATTAAGAGGTACTGTACGGTGAAGTTAAAACTGTATGTGCAAAGTAAAGCAAGTGATGCAAATACAATATGCATTTTTATACAACAAGAACACTGCAAATGCACTCTACCAGTCTATCATAGTAAACTCTCATAATAGTATTTTATCCTCTTACTGTTTTAAAATGATAATTGCAGCCCTCCAAAAGAAAATATGCATCACTATAACATTGGGAACATTATTGTTGAAAAGTAATGGTTTGCCTAGTATTATTTGCAAACATATGCACCTGCTATAAAAGATCATGTTCTTTTACAAGACTGTTGAACTTCTTCCAGTAGTATTAAAATGTTTGACAACATAGACGCCTCCTGTGTCCCTAATGCTATTACTTTCCATATTAACAAACTCATTTTGCATGTATTCAGCACATAAAAGTGGGTAACACTTTACAGTAAGTGGCTATTCATGATTAATTTATGAGGAACTGGGAAAGCCCATGAATAAACTGTGTCTCAAAATACATTACATATTAACTGCATAGGGAATTAGATATTATGCCATATGTATTTGCATTACAAATACAGATACTTATTGTAAAGTGTTACCAAAAATTGGATACATGGTTTGAAGTTTTAACCTTGAAGATCTTTATGACTCTTGTAAATGAGCCATGCTGTTAAACAGGTCAATCATTGCAGTAATTACATCTTTTATTTATTATTAATGCATTATGATATGCATTCCAAGATCTTTTAATCTTTTTCAGCTCCTTAACAATACAGTGTGCATCCAAAAGTATTTTACTGTGGATGTTTGATGTGCAGTATGTTTTAGCATGTCTTTAAATATAGATCAGTGTCTGGATTGATGCTTGGATCAATCATGAATATGCTTAACAATGTGTCTGTTACTGTGACGTTTCATATTTATGGATTGCAGATATGCATGTGAAAGTTGTGTTTGTTCTAATGAACCACTTCCCTTGCCAGTGTTCTTTCAATAAGGGTTCCATGCACACCCCATCAGACCAAACTGAATGGTGCTGAAGTATATTCATTTTAACATGGATGAATATAACAGATTAACAGTGAATTAAGAAAAGAGGAATGTTAGGCCATTTATTCACAAAGTGAAATTTATATATGAACAGATATATTTTATTAATTTAAGAATTTTAAAACTTAGAGATATACATTTGTATTCAATAATTTGATAATAACTTTGAGGTCAATAATGAATAATTTAACCTGCAATATTGTTAATGCAGGTTATTCTGCTTGACAAATATAAAATGAGGCATTAAAATTAAAATAAAAAATATTAACCTGTAATGGCAAAACGTAATATCCTTAATAACCTACAAGTTTAAGATACAGATGTTCTTCTCTGTAGAATACAGTTATATCTTAACATAAAATTAACATTATGCAGCGGATTTCCAAGAATCTTCATTAGTTCTGCCAGTCCTAATAATAGATCAAGTGTACTTCACTTCATTTTAAAATCTTAATGTTTGGTCATGAAGAAATGGTACCACTTATTGAAAGGGGATCTGTATTTGCAACAATACAGAAAGTGTGCTGGTTTTGAAATGAGCCTGATTGCATGGTTCATTTTGTTCTCCTTTGTAGAGCCAGGCATCGGCCCACTACAAAGGCACTAAACATGCCAAGAAGCTCAAAGCACTGGAAGCCCCGAAAAGCAAGCAGAAAGCTGCTGCTGCCAAGGACAGCGCAAAGACTGCCTTCACCACCATCACCACCAATACCATCAATACCAGCACTGACAAAACAGGTTAAGCGAAAAAATCTTTATTTAACTCATGTTTGTCATTTCTGCGGGCCTGCAATTGTGTTTTTGGTATCCCACCTTTTTCTTATTGTCCATTTGGTCAGTGCTATTAAGTTCTATATGATGTATACTAAGTACTGTAAATTACTTTGACGTATTTTTCTGCAAGTATTTTTGCAATTGTTCTTCCAAACACAAGCTGCACTTTCAGACATACTTGCCTAAAATTGCTATGAATTCTAGTTCAGTTGTGATATAATTAAGATGGACAGTGGCTTCTATCTACTATACTGATCTGTCTAGCTCTCTGTCTGGAATCTCCTCAGTTTGATAAATTACCATTTGTTGTACCTCACTTGTGTGTGGGCAACGATTAATTATTTCTAATCAGTTTTCTGTCACATCACCATGAAAATATTTAAAATTATTAATTTAAAAAATACTAAAGGGAAACTACAGAAGAATAACAGGTATTTGTTTTGTTGTTTTCAGCAATGATAACAGACCATACTAGATAATTTAATTATCTTAAAAAATATGGGTAACTTTTATTATTGATTAGTATACATCTGCTTCTAGTATCTAGTATTAGTATACTATATACTACTGTATAGTATATATACTATATATACTGTAATATTAGTATACTAATATACTATATAGTATTAGTATACTAATATATTGATTAGTATACATCTAGTTCTAGTCCACTTTGTTTTGTTTCATTACATTTTTATTGACGGGGTCTCAAGATACAGTAGATAAGGTAAAATACAGATCCAACCATTAAGAATGCATGCCGGATAATACAGCAAATAGCTGTGCACACACTGCACCCCCACCCCACCACACTGAGCTTTTTTGGAAATATTCTGTTGTGGGACTGCACTACTTGCCAGGTGGTGCATTGAATGCTTAACATGGCATGTGGAAGCACTTGGGCTGTTGCCAGAAAATGCCTGGTTTCAAATCCTGGTCAATGTTGAGCCCCTTGGGACAATCTTTTTCCAATTATAGAATTTAAGTTTAAATTTAAGGACTTTTACTATTTTTATTCTATATGTTACAGTATGTTAAATATTAAATTAATTAAAAAAGAAAGTAGGATTATTTTACAAAAAACAAAATTACACAGTTGGATTATTATTATACAGTAGCTCATTGTGAACACAATGTTCTTCTTTCAGGTTTACATCTGCATTAAAATAATCTGTATTTTGTCTTAATGCAAATTGAAGCAATAAGTAATCAGTAACCCTGATATCTGATACTCTCCTCTGTACTGCTGTAGACTTAAGTGATCATGAATGTTAAGTAAATATGTAACATACTGTGATATATAAAATTATTTTTTTAAATCGTCAAAATTGCATAACAAAGAAAATAAAAATTGTTGCAAACTGCTCCAAAGCCTTCTTGAAACAAGAACCAGAGGGTGCAAATTCCCACTCACCCTCCCGACTGTGAAGAAAGAAAAAACTGAATACTCCAAGTGACAATTTGTCAAAAGTATAACTTGCGTGTTGGCTGGGATTAAAAGCAGGACATTTGCCACATTTCAGTGGCCTTTTTGATACCACTTAGTTATTCCAGATTATAATTCTAAATGTATTTATAATTTTGTGTTAAATCTTGGTTTTACTTCTGGCAGTATTTATTGGAACATTTGTACAATTGTAAATGCACCACTCCATCCATTTTCTAACCACTTTTTCCATGACAGGCAAGCAAGAGAAAACATGCAAACTCCATACATATAGAACTCCAGAAATTTAACATAGTTCCTGAACTAAAGTTGCATTAGTAATTACTGGAAATGTGTAGTGAAGACAGAGTGTGAAAATAAAAGCCCACACCCCCTTCCCCCTACTGCGAGGGGACAATGTTGAGGCACGGAACACATCCTCCAGTCCTACATCAGAAAGCTGAAATAGGTGCTACGCCCCACAAGTGCAATATTGTAGTTCTCGCATATTTCTAACAACTATTTCTAACAACTTTTATGATTGAAACTACTAATGTAATGCAATATATAACTGATATCATTTGGAACAAGATAAAGTTTATTCCATGCTGAAATGAAAAGAGAATGTTTTGATTGTGGAGCCTTCTTCAGGTGTAAGGGAAAGAGGAAAACTGGCAGCTGATAGAGCATGGGAGGACAAAAGGTGGGAGTGGAGTGGAGGTGGGAGCAGAAAGGAAAGAAATATCAACACTCAGGTGATGTGAAGTCTAGAGACGTGAAGAGCGGTGTGAAGTCAAAACCTCCAAATTAATAGAGAGGATTATAAGGACTTCTGTCATTGAGAGAAGGGGGATGGTGTGATCCTAATTTCAGGTTAATTTTGTTTTTGGGTGTCTTTCTGTAATTGCAGTTCTGAAATCCCTCTGTGTGAATGCAGATGAAGAGATCAAGAGATATGATCATGAAGAGATATGATCATGGCCATTATAGGTAAAATGGGAAACTATAGGTTTGGAGAAATCTTTGATCCTCACGGCCCCGACATCTTCCCTGAATTGGTCTCCCAGTCTTCCTCCTGTCTTTCCAATATAAATAGTATTTTCTGCAAGAGATGCTGTAAATAAGGTTGCAAGAAATACAAGACGTTACCTGAGTGATCCAAAATTGTCCAGAGGGGCCTTGAATGTCCATGGTATTGGATATATATTTAAAGGTGATGTAGCAAGTTCTGTTGCAGGGGAAAGAGCTTGGTGTGGATGATTTCTCAAGGGAGCTGTGAAAAAGAAGGTTATGCAGATTAGGTGGTCGGCGATATGAGATAAGGTGGTCAGAAAAGAGGTTACAGATGAAGGGATCATCCTGTAAGATGGAAAAGTTGTCGTCAACTGTCAATTGGGAAAAGAAAGTGTATTAGGGTGGTAGGGAAGCACCAATGGAACGTGATTGTGAGTCTGTGAGTTCCTAATTGGGATAATGATCCAAGGGCTACTTTTGGCTCAGGAGAGGGCCCTGTCAATAACATGGCTCTGTTAATGAAAAAAAGAGTAAACACGTTCCTTTTATTGTAGGCAAAAGTACTTAATGTTTACATACTTCATACTTCAAACACTTCATGTTTACATTCTGTTAACATGAAGTGATGTTGCTTCTTTAATTCTAAGGCACATCCACACTGCCACACTGTCCAATGACATTTTGGCCCCAGCTGTCTTCTTGAGAAGGGTGAAACACTGGCATCACCCTATTATTCTCTTTTCATATTGGTATCATAATTCCTTCACTCTTACACTGTTTTGAAAGGCACTGCATACATTTAGTTCATTTAAAGCTACCATCTTTTTAGAACACATGCAATTTTCTCATTAAAATAATAGTCAATAATAACAAGTGTCAGTTGTATGAATGTCCCCTGCTCCCTTTTTCTTTACTTCTTCTTCTGACTCAACAGCTATTATGAGTTAAATATACATTTAAAAATTGGAGATAAACAAATATTTATCTCCAAGATGTTGCAAGATGTGGTAGTACCAAAAGAACAAACAAAAGAAAGAAAAGAATGAAAGAAAAACATCTAAATGCATCAGTAAGTATATAGAATAGCTGTGTACATTGAATCATGTTTTGGATATCTGTTGAATTATTGTTGTAAAATTAGTTGATGACTGAATACTTAATAAAGTATACAGGTATTCAAGATACTGTACAGTTCTTCATTCTTTTAGTTTTGCAGAAACCCTGCCAAGGGTTGGATATTCAAAAATTACTTTAAGCCAATGAGTGTCATACATGGTAATGGTTGACTAGACTAAATTGTTGACACCATTAAATACATCACCTTCATCATTGATCTTGCTCTTGTATTTCACTCAGAAGGGTGTTTTGACTGGCATTGACCATCATAACTTCTGTCAGCTTTTGCAGTTCAGTGAAGGAACAACAATGCAGTGTACAAATTACCATGCAGTACATAAAAAGTCTGTAAAATCCTAAGTTTGTCATTCATCAATAATTATATGGTGGTGTGCATTGTTACATTCAATATACTGTATTTCAATTATATGCATATAGATTATTCCCAGTTACGCAGCTCCTCAAGATTATTGTAAGATGTTGAGAATGTTTTTAGATTCAGCTCACCCAAGGTGGGATATGCAGAACAGAATTGAACAATACATTTTCTTATTTAATAAATAGCTAACATGATGTTACAAAAGACGTTATCACAACATGAACCATAGATATGTCACACACTTTTTACAAATTAAATTAAACAGTTGACTGAAATTCCACATCCACTTAAAAACTGTGAAAGGTTGCCCTTTTAGCACGTAAGTAGTTTAAGCAGGCATAGGCTGAAAAGGAACAAGTAAAGGATTACTCCATGCAGAAAAGAGAAGACAAGAACACAACATTTCGGCTGTGGAGACTCCTGGGGGTGACACCTGAATAAACCTTTTCTTGTTCCTATTAGAGCTTAGCCATTATAACCATTACGTCACATCACTACTACACCATTACTTTCATCACTGTGCAGTACATGATACAAAATAAGTTTTGTAACACATATACAATACATACTGTACAGAAAGGAACAACTGCTTTCATAGATAATCAGAACACTGAAACAATTAATCCATCGTAGCATATCATATACAGTACATACAGTATATAGAAACTTCTACCCGAGGCTCATAAAAATAAGTCCAGTACTAAACATAACCAGCCTTGTTTCGCTTCTGAGATCTATTAGACTACAATCTGCTATATCCCAGAATTTCTTTTTTTCTTTCCTGCTCAGGAGAAACTCTTTATTCCCTTTAAACAGAAAGGATTGGAGCCGCTTATGCTGCAGATGGCTAGCTGTGGTAGCATGTTAGATTTTATCCAGATTGATTATAGTATTTGTAAAATAAAGCTTACAGATGTTTGAATGTATCATATTAGCATGCTTTCAGATCCCCATGGTATTGTCCTTTAGATATGTCTTTGCAAATCATCTCGATTGTTTGATGCTGTACATGATTGTTTTGATGTTTAA